ATTGTAAGGTTGAGTTCTGTAGCCTCCATGCCAAGCTTCTTCCCAGTGATCCGTCTTTCTGGGAGAGCAGTTTATTAAAGTCACCTACTATGATTGTTGAGCCTGTGATTTCTTTTTCATCTTCTGGTGTGTTTGATTCATGAATTCCGTGGGTCTCTCATTGGGCGTGTTTATATTTATTATGATCACTGGCTCTTGGGTCTACTGATCCCTTGAGCATTATATAGTTCCCCTCCTTATCTCTTATATGGCATGCACCTTGAGATCAATTTTGCCAAAGATTATGATTGCAACGCCTACCTTTTTTGAATTGCCGTTTGCTTGGTATATTTTTCACCAGCCTTTAATTCGCAGCTTATTTTTGTCTGCGAGCTTGACATGTGTCTCTTGTAGGCAACCAATTGATGGGTTATGTTTTCTAAGCAATCTTCTAGTCTTTGTCTTTTAATTGGTGAGTTCAGACCATTGTGATTCTGAGTTATTACCTTCATCTGTGGAATCTTAACATCTCATACCTTTGTGTTGGGTGTTTTCCTACCTCCCTCCCTATCAGTGCATTTTGTTTGTGTAGGGAGGGGTCATTCTTGCCATCTTTTTACCATTGAGCCAATGTCATCTTGGGGGCTGTTTTTGGTGTGTTGACTTGTGGATGAAGTTGCTCTATGTTGGTCTCTTATTTGTGTTTGATGAAGGTTGTTCTTCTGACCACAGAGGGTGGGCAAGAATTTTTTGTAAAGCTAGGTTTCTTTTAGAGTATATTTGAGTTTTTCCTTTCCTGGAAAGACTCTTACTTCATCTAATTCGATGATAGCTTGGTGGGGTAGAGGATTCGTGGGTTGGCATTGTTCTCTTTCAACTCTTGGGAGATGTTACTCCACTCTCCTCCTCTTCATGATATTCACAGATAAATCTGAGCTTATTCTGATCTGAATACCTTTATAGGTGACTAGCCTTTTTTCCCTAGCTGCTCTTAGGATTGTATCCTTTTCCTCAAAGTTGGGTAGTTTAACTACTATTTGCCTTGGTGAATTCTTCCTAGGCTTCAGTCTAGTTGGTGGTGGTGCCCTCTTTGCTTCCTGAATGGTATCCTGATTAACCGTTCATTAAGTTGGAGAAGTTTTCTTCCAGGAATTCCCTTGCTGTTTTTGCAGTTGACTTTTTTGTTGTGTCTTGTGCCAGGATTCCAGTTATTCCAAAGTCATTCCTCTCCATAGCAGCAGACATTGACCTCAAGTTTTCTTCAGCTTCTTTAATCTTTGTGGTTTGACCCTCCTGTTTGTTGAAGTCTGCCTGGTTATCTTTGAGGTCGCTGGTCTGGTTCTCTGTTTTTTGTAGTCTGTGGTGAGGTCTGTTAACTTGTTATTTGCTTCTGTTATCTTGTCCCTTAACTCTTGTATGTCCCTTGGTTTTGTGGCCTTTATTTCCATTTTGTCTTCCCCATTTTCCCGGGAGTCAAAGGACCTGGGGCTTTGTTTTGGGGGTGACTGGTAGGAATCCTTCTGTGGGCTGCCTGTAGCCAATGGAACTGGGGGTTTGGGATACTGCTTTATCTCACTGGGGTTTCACTCACTCCCTGGCCCCTGGGATTCCCTTTTTTTGGAGGGAAAGTTGGATGGCCTTCTCAGAGAAGGTGGGTCGTCCTGTTGTGGGCTGCGAGGGTAGGGCTGTGTAGGTTAATTGGGTGAGTGGCTGCAGTGATTTTGGTGGCCAGCAACAGCAGGAGACTTTGGAAGGTGGGTTGAAGCCAGCAGCAGTAGGCAAACTGCAGCACCAGGTCAGGGCAGGCTGGCAGTATAGCTGTGAGTCTAGCCTTGGCTGGTAGAGGAGCCACAGTTCTGGACTGGGTGACAGGGGAGCCGTGGAGCCAGGGCTGTTCGACAGGTTAGCAGTGGGGTCAGGGGCTTATCTGTTGTGGGGTTCCGGCTGGGGGTGGGCCTATGGAAGGGCCTTGGGGCCTGAGGCCTCGCATGGAAAGCCATAGAGCCAGGGCGATCTTGCTTAAGGGCTTCGGTCCTGCGGGTAGCCTTGCAGTTGAGCGGTGAGTACAGGGGCAGTCCTGCAGTGGAGCTGCAGGGCTGTGGGTGGCATGGCAGAGGCGGACGCTAGGCTAGAGGCCTGAAAGCCAGGGGGTCAAGGCAGTCCTGTGGAAGAGCTGCAGGGTTAAAGGCAGCCTATCAGGGGAGCTGCGGAGCTTAAGTAGCCTGGTGAGGGCCCCATGTGGCCAGGGGAAGCCCGGGTTGGAAGCCATGGGTTGGGATATTCCCAAGAAGCAGTCATGGGATCAAGGTCAGCCCAGAGGGGTTGCCACGGGTTTGGGAGTGGTCCCTGCTGGAAGGGCCGTGCACTGAAGACATTCGGATTCCGACTGTGGCATCAGGCACTGCGGTCAGACTCAGCGGAGGGATCCAGCCATGGCATTAAGAATCATGGCAGACACTGGAGATCCCCTTGCAGAGGGGTCTCAGGGAGGAGATGAGCCAGTCAGGGTGCGATGTAACAATGATGAGAAATACAACTTTCCTCTAGTTCCTAAATGTTTCCTCCCCGCTCCCACTACCATGACTCGAATTCTGTCTTGCAAGTCTGGCTAGACCAGAGGAGGTACACTGGTACAGATAGGAACTGAAAATACAGGGAATCCAGGACGGATGAGCCCTATAGGACCAGTGGTGTGAGTGGCAAAACAGGGAGGGTAAAGGGAGAATGGTAGGAAGGAGGGAACCGATTACATGGAACTGTGTGTGACCTCCTCCCTGGGGGACAGACAACCGAAAAGTGGGTGAAGGGAGACGTCGGACAGGGCAAGATATGACAAAATACCCATTTATAAACTATCAAGGGCTCATGCGGAGGGGGGAGCGGGGAGGGAGGGGAAAAATGAGGACCTAATGTCGGGGGTTTAAATGGAGAGAAAATGTTTTGAGAAACGATGTACAAATGCGCTTTACACAATTGATGTGTGTATGGATTGCGATAACAGTTGTATGAGCCCCTAATAAAATGTTAAAAAAAAAAAAAGAATCATGGCAGACAACGACCAGGCTTCCGTAGGAGTCCATTTGCGGCTGTGAAAGTCACGTGTGTACAACTGTTGGGCTCTGACCACAGCAGTGTGAGCTGAAGCCCAAAGGTTAATTGGGCTCCGGGCAAGGTTCAGGGTGCCCGTGTGGAGGGGTCCTGTTGCATCTGGGGTGCCATGGGTGGACAGCTTTAGATTGCCGGGCAGAGCAGGAGACGCCTACTTTTGTGTTCAGTTGGTGGGAGGCCACTAGCTGGCAGCGGGAGGGTGCCTGACGTGGCAGGAAAGCCACGCCCAGAGAGGGCTCTGGTGCTGCGGGAGAAGCCCTGTTAGGTTGGTGGGAGGGTGCCAGGCACAGTGGGGGCAGCTGCTGTTGGACAGTGGGAGGGTCCCAGGTACAGCAGGGAAAGCCATGCTCGGACAGCAGCAATGTGAAGGTCAAGCCACAGCAACAAGAGCCAAGATTGGGTGGCTGGTGTGCTCTGGGTATAGTGGCCAAGCTGTAGGTGGATGGCCGGTGGGTGCTGGCTGCAATGGGATCCACAGCAATGCAGGCCGTGCAGGCCCAGTTAGCCTTTGCACCAGGCCACAGCACTCCGGGGCTCCAGAGCAGGTGTAGGTGCGGCGGTGAAGGTGGATTCCTAGTTTAGGGAAGAGCTCCGAATTGTCACGGAGATTAACCGTTCAGACCCAGATTCCCCACTTGGCTTCCTGATCCTCAGACTCACCGATCTCCATGGAGCTTCCAACGCCAGCCGCTTGCCTTGACGCCATCTTGCTGGAAGTCCCCTAAAATATAATGTCAATGCTATCAAATTACTAAGAAGTATGTGAAGGATGACTTTAGCCAAGATCTTGGAGAAAATGAGAGATGAGCTTAGAAATTGGAGCCAAATTTTTCCTATGGGCATTTGGCAAGTCAGAAAAGGCAGGGATTCTGCACAATTCTTATTATAGCCTCAAAGCAAAACTGAAATTTAAGACCTGTAAAATCTGGAGAAAATAGCCTTTTAAATTTCTAATGAAGGTCACATGGCTCATTTCCCAGGCAGGGTGTGGGGTCTAGCTAAGACCGGCCAAGGTCACTAGGTGGTACTATCTGTTTTCCCTGGTCAAGATAAAAGTTTTACGAGGCTATGAAATAATGGTTTTTCTAATGTAGTTCTGATAGTACAACTACTTAGAATATCTGATTAGCATCATCTAAAGTGAGCAGAGACCAAGTATTGGTTAAGAGGTTTGTTGGGTCCAAACCCCGACCCAGTGCTAAGGGACCGCACCAGACTCTGTCCAGTGCCGGGTGTGGACCCCAAGCTTCAACCGGGGACATATTTTATAGGCGTACAGTTTATTGAGTCACACAGAAAGAAGGCAGACCTTTTCATTATCTGAAAGCTTACAACAGCGTGTGGTTTTTCTAGGAAGCTGCGGGGTACAGAAGAGGCACATTTTGCAGTTAAGCTGACCTTTACACAAGTTTGGGATTATCCTGTTTTCCCCTGTTCTTACTGCAAACCTAGAACAAGTTCAACTTATTACCCAGAACCATTTGCAGTTCCTCATCTATTCCTTATCACATTCCTCATCACAAAAATGAAGGGTCTCTGGGGTTACTGGCCATGTTCTTTTCTTGACCTGGGTGGTAATTTATTGGTTTTTCCCAGTGTAATCATTCACAGAGTTTTATGATCTTAGTTTGTGTCTGTGGGGGTGGGGGTGGGGTGGTGATGTCATGTTTTTCACACAGAAAGAAGTCAACAAAGTTAAACGGTTGCCCTACAAAGGAAGTTGATGTAAAAAGAAGGGAGCAATTAGAGTAACACAATTTGTTTTTTAGGATGGACTACGCAGTCCGTGGTGTACTACGTTCAGTAGAGTAGAAGACACAAAGAATAGTGAAACTGGTGTATGGTCAGGTGAACAAGCTTTACTAGCATGTAAGAGATTGATCCCTTTAACTTCTAAATGTTGTGTTTTGCAGAAAACAAGTGTTCATAGTCGGCTGGGAGTTATTTATAATCCTTCATCAAAAGTAACTGAAGAAAATACAGTTATTTCTCGGGGAATTTTGACAGCTTTTCTTACACAGCAAAGCAAGGATTTGAGAAACTTTCTCGGGATGCTGGCAAAGGAAGAAATTGCTACAGCTATTTACTCTGGTGATAAAATTAAAACATTCCTTACTGAGGTCAGTAGCTATTCATTTGACATGATATGTATGTACATGTGTATTTTAAAATTATAATTTCGTACATTTTGAAGTATTGTTACTGAAAGACATCCTTATGTAAATATAGCCCCTTAGCCATAATCAACATTCCTTTTCCAGTGTGTAAAGTTAAATATTAAATAATGATTCTTTAGTTCATGTTGACAGCATTCCAGTTTGGGCATGTACTTAGGGGATTGTTTGGGAATTAAGGTATTTTGCGGAAGGGGTCAACTACACTGGGAATTCTAAGGGTAGAAGAAGAATTTTTTGTCAAAAAGACAAAAAGTGAAGCAAAATAGGAGCAAAGTTGTTAGATAGGCAACCGTTTCTGGGCTTATTAAATTGGTTTTAAAGCAAAAATAGTTTGTCCAGTGAAAACGCAGAATGTATGGGTGGAGATGCATGATACATTTATTTAGTGGTAACAAGAGGAAGTATTTATCGAATAATTGCTTTAATTTTTTAAATGTTATTATTGGCATATAATTCACAAACTATACAGTTCCATAGTTCAGTCATATTCAGATTTGTACAATCATCACTACAATCAATTTTACGACATTATTAATTCATTATTGTTCTCGCTGTTATTAATTTTCATTTCCCCCTCAACATAAATTTACCTCTCCTGGGTTTCATATACAGGAAAATATTCGAAGAAGAAAAGAAGGGAACAAAAACTAAGATAACAAAGTAAAACCTAAAACCCTCAACTGAAAAGAAAATAGGAAATATTAAAAAGTAGAACAAATTTTAAATGGGTCTTAAAAGGGAGATCAAATGATGCAGTGTTAAATTTTAACCTAACTGTGTCTGCGATGATTCACTTTACAGTGCATTCTACAAGATAACAGTGCCATTCCCATCCTTACTCTGTAATCAGAGGGGCTTCACCAGAGGCTTAATCCATGTGTATTTCCCCTGTAAAAAAACAAACGACTTTTAAATGGGTCAAAACTGATTGCTTTCATTTTCTCAAAACTATTCCGGTCATTAAGAAAGTATTATTGGTGGGAATAGGGATTGTTGGAAGTTGGAGGAAAGGAGCAAAAGTGAAATATGTTCCTGTTTTACTGGGCATGAGAAAAAGAGACAAACAGATGGTGGGAAGATGTATATCACTGCCGAGGGTTCTCCTGTGAGTGCCAGCCAGAAACTGAGCTTAGCGTGGGTTGTGTGCTTTTCTCTAACTCTGTCTGCAGAGTAAGCAGAGTTATGTGTAACTGTGGTTCTCATTCTGCCCGATGAATTGAGGGTTTTATTACAGTGAAGAACTCTGAGATATACCTGGGTTATGACGAACTTTATAACCTAGGAAGACTAGTGGACAGTGAACAAAAGGAGCCTGTCATTGGGCTGAAGGAGCTGAATAATGTTGGTCTCATGACTAGGATGAGTGGGCTCTAAAGTCAAGACATGTTCCAAGAAGGGAGTGATTGAAATTAAGATTTTAAAGGTTTTCCAGCTTTTTTATGAGGTTTTAAAGATAAGCAAGGTGTAATATTGTCCAATACTAACCTAATAGCCTCGGATGATGACACTTAAGTTCATTAAAATTGATTTAAAATTTTAATTCAAGTATTCACTTGCTGGGGCTTGTGGCTACGACTTTGCAAAGATCTCAGCAAAGTATACTATCATTACAGCACTACTGGGATCTTAAGCCGTGCCTCACATCTATGGACATACAATCTGCATTTTTTTTAAATTATTTTATTGAGGGCTCGTACAACTCTTATCACAATCCATACATATATTCATTGTGTCAAGCACATTTGTACATTTGTTGCCATCATCATTCTCAAAACATTTGCTTCCTTCTTGAACCCCCAGTATCAGCTCCTCATTTTTTTCTCTTTCCCTGCTCCCCTCTCCCTCATGAACCCTTGATCATTTATAAATTATTATTACTTTGTCATGTCTTACACTGTCCAACGCCTTCCTTCACCTACTTCTCTGTTGTCCATCCCCCAGGGAGGAGGTTATATGTAGATTCTTATAATCGGTTCCCCCTCTCTACCTCACCCTCCCAGTATCGCCACTCTCACCACTGGTCTCGAAGGGATCATCCATCCTGGATTCATTGTGTTTCCAGTTCCTGTCTGTACCAGTGTACATCTTCTGGTCTAGCCAGATTTGTAAGGTAGACTTGGGATCATGATAGTGGAGGGGGGGAGTAGAGTATTTAGGAACTAGAAAAAAGTTGTATGTTTCATCATTGCTACACTGCACCCTGACTGACTCGACTCCTCCCTGTAACCCTTCTTTAAGGGGATGTCCAGTTGCCTACAGATAGGTCTTGGGTCCCCAAATTGCTCTTCCCTTCATTCACAGTGATTTGATTTTTTTGTTGTTGTTGTTCTTTGATACCTGATACCTGATCCCATCGACACCTTGTGATCACACAGGCTGGTGTGCTCCTTCCATGTGGGCTTTGTTGTTTCTGAGCTAGATGGCCGCTTGTTTATCTTCAAGCCTTTAAGACCCCAGACGCTATATTTTTTGATAGCTGGGCTCCATCAGCTTTCTTCACCACATTTGCTTATGCACCCACTTTGTCTTCAGCAATCGTGTCGGGAAGGTGAGCATCATGGAATGCCAGTTTAATAGAACAAAGTATTCTTGCATTGTGGGAGTACTTGAGTGGAGGCCCAGTGT